TTCTGTTCCATCCCACACAGTTCACCACATAAAAGGAAAATGAAGGGATATTTACAATCAATTCAGTAGTAATCTTTTCTTCTAACATAGTAAATGGATTTGAAGTTCACGATTGTTTGAAATGTCTTTTGCCTTGGCGTTGTGGAAGAGTAAGTGGTTAGGTATATATTCTGTGACAACACGGAGAGCAGAGTGACCCACCAGAACGTTTTCCTCTCATATTTAATTCTTTTTGAATATATCTGTCCTGGGATTCACTTTCAAACCAGCTAAGATGAGAAGTAGACTCAGAGCTTGACAAACATATCACTTCGAGATCAATCTTCACAGCTCTCTAAGTGAGGTGTAATCACTGTAAATCTTTTTTTACAGTTGATTTATATTGCAATTAAGGCAGAGAAAAAGCACATACAAGGCCAAAAGTGGAAAAGTAGCACACATTTTTCATGGAAAGTTTTTTCCTCCATAAGTCAGAGCACAAGAGAGTATTAGAAAAAAAAAATGCAAGGAACTAGTCATGCTCACTGATGATATGGGAGAATGCTAAGTCATCTGTGTTTTCTGTTTAAATGTATATATTTCAGTTGATTAAAACAGCACATGGTGAATTGATCTTGTAGCTTATAAAAGCAATATTTCAGCTTCGATGTTTTTTATTCTTTTTTTTTAATCAAGTTATCTCCCAAAGTATTTTGACTGAAGTTTATTAACAAGGCAATGCAACTATTAATGCTTTGCAGTGCACTCTTGCAAAGTTAAGTAAGAGACATGTCTTTTCCTATGCATACTGATCATACCTTCTGAAGGTCTAAAAGAACTCAAGGTTGCATAGCTGAGTGGTTTTGAAGAAAGAAAATTGTTACTTTGTCTTTTTTTATGCAACGTTATTAGATTTTTGGCGGGGTAGCATTCATAAGAAACGTTATATTGCTGGATTATAACTCGTATTTCAAATATCAAATTTCCGAAAAGAAAAAAATAAGTTATAAATTCAGAGAGACCAAAGCAGCCTCAGGTCTTTGTGCTTGGGGTGGGGGAGATTGGAAGGAGAATCATGAACCTGGATAATGAGGCTGCCTGTTAGGAAATGTGGTATAATATCATTTAGATTAAGGGAGAAAATAATCACATGTTTGGCAATATATCAAATGATGAAGAGAAAGTCATACTTTAATTTTGCATAAACATAGTAATAGTTTAAAAAGAGGACTGCTTATCCTAAACCAATATAATCTAAGGGAAGAAAATATTTCAAGGACCTATTCCAGCTGGTTAGTAAATAAAATTCCATTTGAATTCCCCATTGAATGAATGATCATGCTCTGTGATCTTGCTAGACTCTTGGGGGAAAACAAATTGGGTGAGTAATAATACGTCCTGTTTTTTTCTTTTAGGAAACTAAGGCTTTTCTACCTAGAATTCAACATG